CGACGACGACGACTACGACTACGACACTACTAGGACTGCTGATTACAATCACGAACTACTACCACTGCTACTACTACTACTACTACTACTACTACTACTACGGCTGCTGCTGCTGCTGCTACTACTACTACTGCTGCTTCTACTGCTTCTACTACCTCTACTACTAGCACCACCGCCACCGCGTCGACGACGACGACGACGACGACGACGACGACGACGACTACTACTTACTATTACTACTGTGCTGGTAATGTACTAATGCTGTATTTCTGCTGTACCAATGTACTACCCTGGGGTCTGGGGAGCACACTAGTCAGGATTAAGGATGCCGGACAGCACTGCTTCAAAGCTCGCGGAACCTTAGACACAAGGCCAAACCGCGGGAGAGTGCTGCAGACTCAGGTATGGAATCTTATCCAGGGAAAACAAGACACATTCAGGATCCCTGAAAGGCCCTAAACCCTGAATCCTAAACTCTAGATCCTAAACCCTTAGCCCTGAATCCGAAACCCTAAGTCCCGAATGGGGGGGGCCTACGCTTCTCTGGAATAAACCCGGATCGTCAGGGTGGCTCAATTGTGCAAGAAGCAACCCCTTCACCGCAGCCGTGGGGTGCTCAGACATGCCCCAGGGCTCCAAGTATACAAAAAAGTACTTGCTTTGGATTCGAAAGTCTAGAAATTATACCTACTTTGGCCTTTCTGGAGCTCCCGGGATGGTGGTCTTTCGTTGAGTGTGGTTGAGGGTGCTGTTGGGCTTGCTGTTGTGGTGTACTTGGGCCCAGGGCCCCAAGAGTCCGTACAGGGTTCAGGGTGTACGGCTTCGGGTTTAGGGTTAAGACATACTTTTGCACACGAGCAGGGTTCCCGTATAATAGAGGTGCTATGTGCTATGTAATATAGGTACATGGACGTCAGGGAAAGGCTTCGGGAGGGTGGCCACGGGTTTGTATTGAAAGCCGATTCACTAAGGGTCCATGTACCCAAATAGTAGATACTTTGGCCCCAAAGTACCCACATAGGGACTACTTTAAGGCCAAAGTATCTACTGTTTGGGTACATGGACCCTTAGGGATTGTTCTTATGCTTTTGAAATCTAGGTCTGTCGTCTTGGAATGTTTGGAAGCTAAGGCTTCATGTTTTTGTGAAAGTTGAGGTTGGGCTTGTGAGACAGCGGGGTCTGAATAACTAGAACAGCACCATGTTGCAATTCCTATATGGGGTTTCCAAAAATAGGGGACCCTAATATATCACCCTAAATAGCAGGATCCCTATTATAAGGACCCCAAAATACGGTACCCCTAATTTCCGGAAACTCCCATATCTCTTAGAACATCTTCAATTCATTTCACAGCCTCACAACATCGCCCATAGCCCCATCTGACACTGGTGACTCATATTACCATTGTTACGAGCATTGGTAATTAGGAAGGCATTCTGATCCTTAATTAGCCACTAGCGTAAGAAAATCAGGCTATGTTTCCAAACCCTGACCCTTAAACCCGAACCCTGCACCTAAACCCTAAATTCTAAACCTTCAACCCTATGTAAACCTTAACCCTACACCCGAAGTTCTAAACCTTAAGCCCTAAACCGAAACCCTACGTCCCAGGCCGTCGCCCAAGGACAGCATCCGCCCTGAAGAGCCACCCGGAAGCGCTCGACTTCAGAGCGCCTCTGGCAGCCTTTGGGTGCTACAAGAGGGCCTTAGGGTTTAGGGTTTTGGGTTTAGGGTCTTGGGTTTGGGGTTTTGGGTTTTGGGTTGAGGGT